GAGGGGACGAGTATATACATACACATACACAAAGAGTGCAATGCGCACCATCTGAGGGATGGACACACTTGAAACTCAGACTTGGGGGGGAGGGAGGGGGCAAGGGCAACAAACGTAGCCTAAACATTTGTACCCCCATAATATGCTGAAATAAAAAAACAATCAAACAAAAAAAAACAGACTGCTGGGCCCACCCCCAGAGTTTATGATTAGTAGGTAAGCCTGGGATGGAGCCAAGAATTTGCATTTCTAATAGTCACCCCTGGAGTCTCAGGTGATGCTGCTGCTGCTGGTCCAGGGACCACACTTTGAGAACCACTGAAGCAGATGCTGTTACTCCCATTTTGTAGCTGAGGAACAGAGGCTCAGAGAGGTTAAGTTACTTTCCTAAGGCCAGCCAGCCAGAAAGTGATCCAACAGCTATTTCCACAGAGGTCTGCACCCTTCTTACTTATGCCTCCTGGTTTTCTGCAGCCACTATGCCGCTCTTTAGGAACTAATGCTAGCCTCCCTATCTTTTTACTCAGCTGTGAACACTAAAATGTAGGCGTTTGGGCAGCTACAGGCCAAGATCCTCCAGGACACACAAACCCCAATTCTGCAACTCAGGAAAGATGAGAAATAATTATGAGTGGGTGGCCCACACCACATCCAGACAGACCCTGGATGGCACAACTTCAATTAGAAGTAACTGGAACTATAGCTCATTTAATAAATGAGAGGAGGTCAGATGGCCGCCAGCCTCAAGGGAAATCCTTGGCTCACAGGGAGAGGAAGTCAGCGTCCTGGTATGAAAAACATGCCTGGCCTTTTGTGGTTCCCCTACGAGCACTTACTGCCTCCTATGCACTCTCAGGATGGTAGCTGGGAGCAGGGAGAAGTTGCTGGTGTGTTCTGAGTTGGCCAAACTGCTCTACCTTTGATTAAGGTGGGACAGCTCCTTAATTAACCAGCCTTTCCATTGCACATGCTCCCTAATGCCATTTTAAGTTCTCCCTTTAGCCCTAACTACAGCTGCTTTTTATACAGCAATTCAGGTGTGAGGTCACACAGGGCCTTTATCGCTGCTAAATAGAAAATAAAGAGTTTTTCTCCTAGCCTCCTCCCATGTGTTCCATTTCTAGTTCTTAGTGCTTGGGAAGGGGTTGGAAAGGAAAAATTCATTTATAGCAACTAAATATTCCAGCAGATGCAGAACAGAAGGCAGGTGGAGTTGGGGGCCTGGAGGACCCGAGGGACGTGAGAATGAGGTTTGCCCAGTAGAGGATCCGTCCTGATTTCCAAAGGAAATTCTTTAAAAGGTAGACAGTCTGGGAGAGGAGCCAAGGAGCACGTGTGAGGAATACACAGCAGTGCCTGGGTCACACTTGAGTCCCCAGAGCCGAGGGCTGTCCAGCCACAGCACAGAAGCTGGTCAGGAGGACCTGCGAGCGGCCACGGCCACATCCAGCCACCCATCACCCTAGGCCAAGCCTCCAGAGCTCCCTGAACCAGGACGGAGGGGCCAATCTCGTGGCTGTCCTGTGGGGCTGTGGCTTGGGGAGAGGTGGGGTTCGTGCACCCTCCAGGAGGGGGGCTTGGTGTCCATGTTCCCCTGCCAATCATCTCCTTTAAGGTTTGTCTTGCTTGTCCCAGAGCTTGAGCAAACAGTGCTATTTGTCTATTTCTCAACTAGTTCCCATCCAAGAAGCACCAAACCAACATCTGCTATCATCAGGGACAGAGCACCGTGCCCATTCCCTGCTCACACGATGTGTTCTTGGGTCTAGTTCCAACACAGTCATTCTTTCTGGTTGCTGTGTTATTCTGAACACACTGGGGTTTTTTTTTTGTTTTGTTTTTTCTTCGGGAGGGCTAAAAAACGCCAACTGTCAGGGTAAGGATGACTCTCCTAGATAGCTAGAATTTTTTTAACTCTTTTATCGAACATAATATACATACAGAAAAGTGTATGTATCATAAGCAAACAGCTTGATGAATGTTCACAAACTGAACAAAGACCTAAATATGCCCAGCACCCCCCTCATCGTGCCTCCTTCTGGTCACTTCCACCCCCCAAGGGTACCTGCCATGCTACTTTTTAGCAGCATAGATTTGCCTTAGCAGGCTGGAGTCTCTCCCTAGCTCACAGGACTGACTGGGACTGATTTCCAGCAGGGAGGGCCCATGTCACATTGTCCCCATCCTCTCTCATGTAGCTGCTGCTTCAGCCACCCAAGAGGAGCGCAGGGGTCAGGGCTGCCCCCATCTTAGCTGTCGGATGGTCCTCTTCTCCCCAGGGGGGCCATCCCTGAGGTCAGCCTGGTGACTCAGTGATGGAGGCAGGGGGTAGAGCTCCCTTTCCTTGCACTTCTAGAAGTCCTACCATGTGCGCAAGACAGTGGGAGGCCCCTGCAGTTGGATGACTCAGCAGTGTCTACGTGCAGAGAAGCTAGTTCCATACCCCAGGAAAACCAGCGTGTGGCATTTGGTTGGACCTGCCCCATTCAGTGTGGCCCTTACTTTTTGGAAACCGTCTCCCCCAGCACCTGTGCCAGGCCCTCTGTGCGACTCTGAGCAAAGGTGCTGCCTGCCAGCCCGGACCTGTCTGCCCCCTTAGCTGTCCTCCCTCTGTCCTCCCCACTCGTCCCCTCTGAGGGCTGACTCCACATCATGTGTGCCCATTTCACTAATCAAAAACCAGATTTGCCTCTGTGCTGACCCCATGCATGTCCACGCACCATTAGACTCTGCCCTCTGCTTCCTCAGCAAAGCGCTGCTCTAAATGTGCAGGGAGGAGGGACAGAGGGCCGGCCAGAGCTACTGGTCAGGAAGAAATGCTTCTTGACCCGTCAATACAGCTGCACACAGAAGCCCTCCCTCGGGGAACACCATGTCATGACCAACTGGCAGTTAAGATTATCCTCCCACACCTTGACGCGACGTCTTTCTGTTCCCTGGAACCATCTCATTCTGCCCAGGGCAGGCTGTAACAGAGGCAGAGAGCCCTGCAGAGACTTGATTTGTGCTCCCACTACACCTGACAGGCCAGCAGAAGAGGTGGGGCACGTTTCCTCCGACTCCGGGGCCAGGCAGGTCCTGGGAACCATGTGGTCAGTGGTCCCCTGACAGAGTGTGCATAAGAATCGCTCGGGGAGTGCATTAAAAATACAGGATTTCCAGGCCCCCTCTTTCCCCCAGGTGTAGGCTGAGGCCCAGAAATGTGTACTTTTGGAAGGCATTCCAGGTGATTCTGATGTGGGTGACCCCATGCCATAGTTAGAGGAACACTGATCTAGACAACCCCTCCCCCAGGCAGCCGATGGGGAAAGTGAGACCCACAGGGCTCGAACAGCTTACTGGGGGTCAGTCAGAATAAGGCCCAGGACCCAAGTGCCAGCTTCTGTCCATGCCTCCCGCCTCCCACACAAGGAGCCTGCCCACCGGCTGCAGCCCAGACTCTGTGGATTCTTCCTTCGTCGGGTCTCTTGCCCTGGCCTCCCTCCCACTGCCATCACCGTGAACTGGATGCAAAGTCACAGAACAGGGTTTCCATAAGGACCAACACCTTCCTGCCTCCCCCCATCCCCTGCCACCTGTGGCTCTTCCTGAAGCACAGATTTGCTCCCCGCCCTGACCTGAGAGTCCATGACTCCCTGTAAACCCTTCTCTATAGGCTGCCCTCAAATACCACCTGGCTCTTTCTGGCCTCCACGCATGTGATACCATCATCACCTTGGCCAACACAGCTCCTGCCCCCTCTCTGAATCCTCCCCGTCTCCTGAGGCCCAGGTGAATGCCCTCCTCCTCCAGGAGGCCTTCTCTGACTATCCAGCCCTGGCGCTCTCATCCTCCTCTGAGCAAGCAGAGCACTGAGCCATTTGTTTATTATCGGTTGTTATTCCCTGTTAGGCTTTGGATTGTGGGCCTTCAGTAATTCCCAGCTGCAGACCACACCTACCCTTCTAATTACCCTCCTCCTTAGCAATGTGCCATGCACATAAGTCCATAAGGGATGTTAGCAATAATGGAGCCATGCAGTGCCAGAGCTGAGGGGACCTTGGCCTGCAGGTAGCTGGTTGGTCAGTTCAGTGACTTTTCTATGTCTCCGTGTCCAGTGAACATCCAAAGGCTAACCTTTGCAAGTCGAGGTCAGCTCTCTCTCTGGGCTGTGCTTCCAATGCAGTAATCATCTTCCCCGCCTGTCACCGCCACACATCCCATGGCTTTACTTTGGCCACGCCCCTGCTTGCTTCAAATGCCTCCTGTGCCAGTAAAGTCAATTCCACCCTCCTGCTTGCCGGAACAATCTATCTTGTGCATCTTCTGTAACTCTGTCCCCATCAAGACATTATTGACATCCCATTGCCAGAGGACCCAGGCGCCTGGCTTTCCATTCCCATTCCAGCCAATGACCAGATTTCCAGCTCACTGCAACCGAGCCCATTTTGAGCTGCTTGTCTTGCAGGTCACCGGGGGTGACCACAGAAACCCCGTCCATCAGGCACACTTGATGCTCTCCATTTAGGACAAACATCCCTCGTTCACTAAGGACTGACCATCACTTCTTCACCACTTGCTTACAAACATGGCAACAGGAAGTTAATTCTAGACACACTGACAGCTTAAGTTCTGGGGCCTGAGCCAGACTTTCAGAAAGGAGCCCTTTATTCTTTGTTTATTGTGGGACAAATGTCTTGAGAGGGAGAAAGGTTCTCCCTTGCCAGGGCCATTGCGGCCTTGAGGTACCTGGAGCTTTGGTAGAAATCCTTGCAGGAATCTGGAAGCCTCATGACTCACAGTCCTAGTGCACGGGGCAGGCTCGCCTGCTTGGAGAGAGCGCAGTAAGCAGCCCTAGTCGAACTGTTCTTTAGAGATGCCTTTCTACTCTCGCTCAACTCTACCAGAACTGCATTCTGACCCCCCCAACGTAACCCCACAGAGCATGAAGTGTTGGGTTTCTCATTAAATACAACCATCTCCTTTTAAAAAAAAAAAAAGTATTTAAAATCTCTACTTACCAAAATAGGTCCACTTGGATCCTGCAAAGAACAAAACACAGTAAATAAGTACAATTGGAGTGAATGAGGAAGGGAAAACACTACCGATTTTATTTTGAAATGGATGAGGCTGAAAGGAAGATGGATGCACAGAAATTAAAACTTTTTCTGAGTCTATGTCAGAACAACAGCTTCTCAGGGCGCCTGGGCTCCAACAGCGGCACGGGCAGCGAGTGTGCGCGGCAGCCGTGGATCTGGAAGGTGGCTTCGTGAGTAGATGTCTCCTGGACACCTTAGAGAAGTCAAACTTTATTATCTGACTAGGTCATAATTTCATGTGGCTCAAAAACCAAAAGCCATCAAAGGGCAAATACAGCGAAGGCTCTTCCTCCCCCCGCCAACTCCCTGCTTCCGTTGCACAGCGAGTTTAGTGGTCGCCTGGGAGCCGGTTCGCAGTATGGCTACACACGTGTGTGTTCGTGTCACCTCCCCTTTTCTGCACACAAACGCTGGCATACTGGAAACACTCCTGCTTTCTCCCACTTAGCAACATACCCTGGAGAACAGTTCGCATCAGTACACAAGGAGGAGAAAGCAAATCTCAACAAGGAAAAAGCTTTCCCTTGAGGAAGCTGCCACCCTTATCTGAGTCAGGATTCCAGGGGTGGTGGGAAAGTGTAGTGGAAGTTCCGCCAGGAATATGACAAAAGTCACCTACCACATCCCACTCCACACCCGTTATGCATAAAAGTCCTTTCTTCCTACATCGAAAGGGTCTTTTGCAAAAGTCATTGCAGAGCTGTGCTCTTGTGACCCTACCCGCCCACCTTCCTCTTCACCTCGGCATGGAGACTGAGGCTCTGAGTGGAGACACATCCCCTGTGTCTTGGGGGACACAACCAATGAAGGGCCTGTGCAACTGTGCAACTGAATCCCTCCTTCCCAGCTTCTCCCGGTGCCTCTGTGGTTGTCGGCCCACGAGGGTACAGCTAGAAAACAGAGATTCTCACATCCTCTTTGTCTCTTGGGAACTGGTTTGCAGTAAAACTTAACTGACAAGCAATCTGGTCACTTAGCACAACTGAGTATTTCCTACTCAAGCCAATGGTGGTTTTAAAAACTAAACACGGACTTTGCTTTTTTGTTGTTGTTAAGCTGGTTTAATCTCATGTTTTTCATTGTTATGTTTCATTTCTTTGCCTCGGTGTTTTTAATTAATTTGGGTTTATGTTCAAATGTAATTGGTAATTTTTATCAAATTATACTTGCACGTGGTTGAAAGTGTCAGATGTTTCTACGAGGCTTTTAAACACAAATATCAGCCCCCTGGCACTCCCTAACCACTTACTGCTCCCTAGGGCAACCCTCTTGAGTCTTTTTAAGTGATTCTTTTGGTATTATGTCTCTATTGATATAAAACACGTGTGCTGTTCCTTCTTGGTTTTTTAGGTTTAGGCATTATCTATTGACATTCCTCTCTGGAAGGGAAGGATTTAGGTCTCTTTCACCCACTCACAGCCCATCTCCTTCTTCTATAGGTGAGGAAATGAAAGTGAAGTTGGAGTGACCTGCACAGTATCACGTGCCTGCTAGGAAGAGCCTCTCCATGTTTATGATTAATTTACCATTATTTCCATGAACTTAGGGAAGCTTTGAGCCTCGTTCTCAATCTTTGGAGCAGTGGCGGGGGGAATCCAGATCCCCTAGAGTATCTGATGAGTACTGGACCTTCTCCTCATAAAAATACCTGCAAGCTTAGACACACGGAGTGTCATGTACAATTAATTTCAGAATGTCCACAGACCCCCTGAAATCTGCTATGGGCCCTACAGGAGTTAATAGTTCCCAAGATTAATCTCCCCTGTATTAGCAGTTGGATGAAGACATTCAGAGCCGTGGGGAAGCCGAACTTGTATAAGTGACCCCAAGCGTCCTACTAGCTGCTTTACCAAAACAATGGTGAAAAGAAATAAAGTATTGCCTTAGAACCAAGCTATAAAAGATATCAAACTTCTTTTCTGGACATTTCCTTTCAGTGTTTTGTGTGAGGGATTCACTATTAAAATACAACGATGGATTTCAGAGACATAAGAAGGCAGATTATTGCCCCTTAGCAGGGCAGAGCACTTGGAGGCCTAGGGTGTGAAATTCCACAAGTAAAGGGAGAGTTCATTCTCATTTTTCCCCTGGGGAGGCACAGGCCGCTCTCGTGATCCTGGAGGCCACAGAAATGCATCTGCTGCATCACTGCCCTGGCCAGGGGATTCTGCTGCACCTGCTCCCACTCGAATCCTAGCCTTACTGCCTTACACCCTCTGCTGCCCTCTCCAGAGCTGGCTAAGCTAGGTTTCCCCCACTCTCTCTCTCATCCTCAGATGAGGCATTGGCATCCTACACTGGAAAGTTCAAAGGCGAATGTTATAGAGTGGACATCTGGGACTGTCAGGCCTCAGGTGGTGACACAGGACGGAGGACTCATTGAAAAGCAGCAGCATCCAGAGCAACATGTCCTGCTCTCCTCTCTCTGAGCCAGCCAGCTTGGTTGCTCCAGACTGGGTGCCTTGGGTATGAGTGGCAGTGTGTGGAGGGGCTCAGGAGCTGGAGGGCTGGGAAGAAGCAGCATTGCAAAGTGAAGATGAGGATGGTGAGTCAACAGAGTTCATCGGGCGGAGATCGGGGCCCACGCTGGGGCATTGTCAGCTCAGATCTGACCTCAGGAAGACTCTAAAGAGTGTGCATGTGTGTATGTGTGCGCACGCTCATACAAGTGTTCGCTTTATTCAGGAATGGCGCCTCCTGGCTCTCCACCTCTAGCTGTGAGAGCAGAAGTCTTAACAGGATTAAACTGAGCCCATAGGCAGGCCAGGCCATGGCCTTGGTGGCTTCCTGAGGGAGCAGGCCCT